CGGGGAGGGGGGACACGGGGCTAATTGAGCAAGGTGCCAAGAGACGGTGACACGGGCCTTTCAGGCGGTGGAAAACCTGCGAACGACCTCCCAGCGGAGCTGGTAGCAGCCAGTGAAGTATACTAATTATCTTGGCACCGGCGTGAAAATAAAATAAGGCCAAAAGAGCAGGCGCTGGCACGGAGAGGGAAATAATCCACACTGAAGTTTCGGCTTCGTTGCCTGTAAATAAACGCTTTGCCATCTTGAATGGAGGCATTATTACGCTTTTAAATGGCGGAGAATAGAGCGTGTCAGTGACGGGACCTCTGTCGCAGTGGAACGTGTTTTATGTTTGCGCTAGGTCAGATTTTTCAGCCTTCTTGCACCTAGAGGGAGCAAAAAAATATATATATAATATTCAATAAAATGGGCCCGTATGATGGTATAATAACATACTGGACATTCAGTCAGACTGCGAGGTCCATTTCCAAGGTGGGCGCACACGGGCGATTTTTGTGCTACGGAAATTGCCAGCAATCGACCGCTAATTGCTAGCCATTACCCGCGTGTGAGCATGGGCAATTTAAACAGTATGATCCACTAACAAAAATCACCCGTGTGTGCCCAAACTAAAGGTTTTAATTGGATTGAGTACCAGATTTTGGTACAGAAATGTAATTTTTGTTGCGTTCAAATCCCTCACCGGATGGTGCATTGGACACAATCTTAAACTCTGCGTGAACATGACAGCGGACCAATCACGCTGAGGCCTATTGTGAAGCGTCAATATAAAAAAAAAAAGCTTTCTTTACACGGTAAACCTGTGGGCATGCATGAGCTGTCTCTATGGCAACTTCAAACAAGCGGGTGGAATTACAGCCCCTCGTGAATAATGCGTCACCTTTCACTGAGGTCCTCTGGTCTCCCCCTGATTGAAATGACTAGTCATGCCTCGCATCCACGAACGTGAATTTAACGCACTCCCAGTCAGATGCATGTAGAAGCTGAGGAACGATCCCTCGGCAGCCATAAATCCTCGCACATCACTATACTCGCCGTTGCCTGTGACCTGCCGTAACTCGCAGATACCTTTTTGCAAAGGTGTGGCGCAACCCATTAAATCCAGCAAAGCCAACTGCTCATGAATTGCTGGTGTTCGGTCCAATTTAGACATCTCTTGGAACAAGTGGGCGAGAGGTGGGCCTAGCACGGCTTCTCAAGCATTTGCGACCATAATATTACTTTTTACGGCACTGGCCCTTCCCTTTTCTTTTGAGGGAACAGGATTATTACTAGGTGTGCACCACAAGTGTAAGCCTAGTTGCAGAGATGTTGGAAACAGAGGAGTGGAAGTAGAATTATAGTCAGGCCAATATTTCTCCAACCTTCAGTGAGATGTTTGCAGTCATCAGTCACTTCTCACCCTATAGTGGGGAAGGCCGAGAACTTCATTTCTTCATTTGTGTTGGGGTTTTTTTTTTGTCTGACTGTCTGTGTATCCATCATGGATAAGAGATGTCACCAGCACGCCAACATGACAAACACGTCAAAGTAGATTCTACTTTGAGCGACTTCTGAAAAATAAAAAGGAAGATTCACTGAACTTTGACGTGTTTGTCATATTGGTGTGCTGGTGACATCTCTTCACAACAATCTTTGCTTGATGCGGCGCCATCCGCAGTCACTGCGAGCACCCATTTTTCCTTTGGGAAGTCCGGTAAGGTGTGCTACAGGTCTTTGGACATTTCCATCATGGATAATCCCCCC